GCAACAACCCAGAAGACAGAAATCTTCATACTCATCGCCCTGATGATGGAGGCAGTATGACCTCTGAAACGTTGGTAAACATCGACCAGACTACACAGCGCAACAACCCAGATGATACCTTCTTACAAATGTTTAACTGTTCATCATTCATGATTATCATCACATCTCACTGAATACTTTGCAGTTTAAACAGCAAAACTAAATTCTTTAAGAATCTATGGACAGTCCTTATACATGAGGATGTCTGTCTTGTGAGATGTAGCACCATGGAGTTTGCTAAAGTTAACAAACATCTCAGAGGTCCTTGCTGCCTCCATCGTCAGGACAGTGAATATGTTCTACAACCCAGAAGACAGCCATCTTCATACTCACTGCTCAACCTCAAATCCTACTTAGTCTAATTGAAAGTACTCCCTAATGCATAATGCAATGTAATTTTGTTTCGAAAACTAGTTGGCATCTGTGTTTCACATCTCCACTAGTGATAGCAGTTTTGTAAATTTTTCTTACCGTTCTTTTCCTTTTTCGTGTTCTAGAAAGTTAAATGCATTCTTATAAGTTTCTATCCTCTTCTTCAGCTTAAATATAATACAATTCTTCCGCTCAATAACGAGCCCCGCCCGGCTTAGGGCTATTTCGACACATTCCTTCTCATTACGAGTTTTCATTAGTTCTGCCTGTATGTCAAGCAAATGGCCCCACTACACACACACAAAGAAAACATATGTTAGATATATTTGATTATAATATTGTGCATGGGTAATTGTGCTTGTTCTTCTGTATGGTTGTGAATGATAACCTCTCATTTTGTGAGAAGAAGGCATTATAAATGTCAGGATTAAGGGGTTCAGTAAAATACTTGGAATGACAGAGTAAGTGGAGAATATAAGATATAACATAAAAAGGACATCACATTTTCTACGAACCACTCACTTTTACAATATTGAAATTCAGGTGGTTAGACTGCACTTCTCATTTATTTATACTCAGTACTGGTGGGGTAACATCTGGGACAGCAGCTAGAAGAAATTGTGAGACATGCAGAAAGAAGTAAAGAAGGAAAGTGTTTTGAAGCTTAATAAAATGACAGATGATATCAAGAAATGTCAAGAGAAATACAGAAATTGCATCCTTCAGATGCAAAGGCACAACTACCAAATGGACTTTTCACATTCAGACCCAGGAGAAACAAGAGATTTGTGAAATGGAAGGAGCAATTTGTGTAGTTTCAGAACAGGGCTAGATGGTCCAATAAAGAAGAAAAAAACTATAGAATACGTGGGAAACAGATGGAGGAGAGAAGGCATATGAGGAAGAGAAGGAGGAAAATAAAATGGAAGGAGGCAGCTGAAAATAGATAAGAATAAGAGATGGAATGGAAGAAGAATAATTGGGGTAAGGATGAGAAGAATAAGAAATCAAGAAAAAAAGAAAAAGGAGTTAAAGGAAAATAGGACAGTGTGATGAATGCTGTTACAGAGTAATGATTGGCAATACAGAAACATACTGCTAATAGATGAATTCTTACACATGAAATTCACTTGTGGCATACCTGTTGTTGTGGGACTTGTTCGTTGATTTGCTTCTTTACACAAGAGATGTCTTTCCTTACATCAATCTCTTGGTATCCCCTGAGTTCCATTTCAAGACCATTCTGTTGCCTGCACACACATGGAAAACAAGAAACACATAAAAATCTTTTGTGTGAGAGAGAGTTTCAGGAACCTAAGCATATCTGAGGGAAGGATAATAAAACTGATCTTAGAAGGAAGTAAACAGAAACAGATAATAGATGGAATATAACCTGTTGCTCATCCAACATGTATATCCCTGGGATTTAACCTGTGTGTCCATAGTGAGAACCTGCCTACTAGCTGCCTCACCTATGGCACAATATAGCTAGTTAATTACTTAGTTAATCAGACAGATCATTAACATGGCTAACTAGTTATTCATGAATCAGTTTGTTAGCTAAGTAGCTACCTACTTTAATAAAAAAAGTTGTTTATTGACGTGTAGAAGTGGTAGAGGAAACATAAGTATGCAAACTAGTGTTTCTCTTGTAGTACAACTTACATGCTTGAAAGTGAGTTCAATTTCTCTTGCAGCTGCTTGATATGTTTATCTCTCTCGATAATCATTACATCATATTTGGCACATGTTTGTTTTAAATTGGCTTCATATTGTTCCTGAAATGTCAATAGTTACATGAGCTATATGAGAAGCTTGAGAGACTGATTTTTGTGTACTGAACAACTGTTTTCAGAAGTGTGTGTACTTCTTGTTAATAGATTCCGTTCATTAGTCTCTCTTAGTTATTTTATCGATGCCTTTCAGTTGCATATGCTATGTAGCATCTAATGGAATTAAGATTTTAAATGATTATTTAAATTTAAAATGATGTGGAAAGAAGCAGTAATAACCTATTTGACTAGTTATATTAAAACCGAAATGGGGGATAAGCAATCTATGTTGAATGGAAGGAGCAATTTGTGTATGTGCAGAATAGGACAAGATGGTCCAGTACCTTGCAAAGAAAGGAGAAAAATGAGAGACAAGTTTCAAGTTAGACCTTGAAATAGGCCACGATGCCTGTTACTAAATTTTTAACTACCCAGCATATATTGTCATCTTCACATCTCATTTAGCATTAATTAAAGTTGAAACGCCAATATTACAATTTTTACAAATCTGTGAGTAGTCAAATATATATGAATACTTCCTAATACATAATGTCAGGTCATTTTCTTTAAATACCTTTTCTGCATGTATATATTTCACATGCAGGTTTGGTAGTATTTTATGTTGATTTTTCTGTAGTTCTTCAATTGCCTTCTTGTAAGCTGCCAACTTTTTGCTTTGCTCTTTTATTATACAATCCTTCTGTTCAGCTTCCAGCCCCCTGTGGCTTAGGGCTATTTCAAGACGTTCTTTTTTATCATCAACTCTTGCTAGTTCAGTTTGCAGGTCGAGCACTAATCCCCACTAAACACACACAAAAGAAAATATATTTTAGATATATTTGATTTTAATAATATTATTGGTAAATGTAATTCTTCTTTTGTGTGGCTTAATATCTGGCTTATTTTGTGAGAAGATGGTATAAGTGTTCGGATAAAAGGCATTTAGTAAAGCACTTAGAATGTTGAGGGACAGAGTACATGGAGAATACAAGGTAAAACGTAATAAGAACTTCAAAAACTTTTAGAATACTGAAATTCAAGTGGTTAGCATTTGATGTTTGTGTATTTATGATGAAAGAACACAAAATGCATGCTGAGAAAGCAGTGGTTATGGTAGAGAAAAGAGTAAAGAAGAAAAGTGTTTTGAAGCTTAACAAAATGACATAATATCAGAAATGTCAATAGACATAGAAAAAATACATTCATGAGAAGCAAAGGGACAAACTACTTTATATTCATATATTCAGACAAAAAGAAAATTGCGATTGCAGAACAGTCTATGTGGAACAGAAGGAGAAATTTGTGTAGTTGCAGAATAGGTCAAGATGGTCCAATACCTGGCAAAGGAAAAAAAAGAAAACAGACAAATTTGAAGTTAGACATTGAAATAGGCCAAGATGCCTGTTAACATATTTTTAACTACCAACAATTTTTCATCTACACATCACATTTAACATTAATTGCAGCTGGAACACCAATATTACATTTTATTTACAAATCTGTTAGTAGTTAAAATACATAAAACCCTTTCCTAGTGCATATATCAGGTACTTTTCTTTGAATACCTCTTTCCCATGTCTCACTTGATCATCTGAATTTATTTCCAATGTTGCAATATTCTCATCCTCTTCCTTCTTTTCTCTGTTTATAAAGTCAATTTCCTCTTTACAAGCCTTCAAATCTTCTGTTTGCTTAGATATTACACGATCCCTCTCTTCAATATCCAGCTGGTTCCGGCTTAGCCTAATTTGGTGGTCTTTATTTTTATCAGTGGCATCTGTTAGTGATGCCTGCAGGTCATGAACCTGACCCATCATACAAAAAGAAGTAATTATTATTTATGCATTATAACTAAACCTTTAAACAAACACACACAACTGATTTCAATAATGTTCCATATTTGTGTTGGATTGTGGTGTGTTATTTTGCATGGCTAAAAATGTGTCATTTATTCTGTGAGAATAAGACATTTTACAGGTGCTGAGAAGAAAGTGTCCAGTGAAATAAATGGACTGATGAGAGGTAAAGTAAATAGGAGAATATGAAATATAAGAAAATAAGAACTTAATTATTTATATATGTCACTCAGTTCTAGAGTATACAAATTGAGGTGATAGAGTGTGTTTCTCGGGAAGGGGAAAAGAAGGAGACAGCTGCAAAGAAATAAGAATAAGAGATGGAAGGGAAGGATGAGAAGAGTAAGAAGCCAAAAAAAAAATAGAGAAAGAGGAAGGTGTGATATGTATTGTACGGAGCAAACGCTGGCAGTGCAGATACTTTCAGTAAATAGTTAAATTTAGTGGATATACAAATCCTTTAACATCAGATTGGCTTTTAGTGACATACCTCTTGTTGAAGCTGTGAGACTTGGCCTTCCATTTTTTTGTTTGAACTGCAGATGTTTTCATTTGCTTTCTTCTCCTCTTTGTACTCCCTGACTTGCACTGAAAGGAGAGTATTCTGTTCTTGTCTGCACACATGTGGAAAACAAGGAACATATAATAATCTTGTGTGGAAAGAGGACTTTAGGAACCTATGCATACCTCAGGAATGGATAATAAAACTGAACTTACATAGGAGGTAAACGGAAACAGGTAACAGTTAGAGAAAAAACTGTCTCCCTCCCACATTTTTTGCCCTGGGATTTAATCTGTGTCCCCATAGTAGGAACCTGCCCAATAACTGCCTCAGTTATGGCACAATATATCTAGTTAGTTGCTTAGCTAATCAGATAGATCATTAGCATGGTTAACTAATTATTGTAGAAACAGTAGCTAGCTGGTTCAATAACAGAATTGTTTATTGACATGTGGAAGTGTTGGAGGAGGCAAAAATTCACATTCTAGTGTTTCACATATAGATAACTTACGTGCTGAAAAGCGAGTCCATTAACTCCTTCACTTTTTCTTCCAGCTGGCAGTTACGTTTATTTTTTTCAATAATCACGACTTCACATTTGGCACATGTTTCTTGAAAATTGGCTTCATATAGTCCCTGAAATATCAATAGTTGCATATAAGAAGCTTGAAAGACAGAGTTTCTGAGCAATGTCTTCATTAGTTTGTGTACTTCTCGTTAATTGATAATATTCATTCATCTCTCTCAATTTATTTAATGATGCCCTTCAGTTGCATATGTTATATAGTATCTAATGAAATTAAGATTTTAAGTAACTACTTCAATTTAAAATTATGTGGAAAGGAGCAGTAATGAATTATTTGACTATTTATGTTCAGACTAAAACAGATGATAGATCTGAGGGCAGTCTATGTAGAATGGAAAGAGCAGTTTGCGTAGTTGCAGAGTAGGTCAAGAAGGCCAGTTTCTTCCAAAGAAAAGAGACAAACTTCAAGTTTGGCCTTGAAATAAGCCAAGGTGCCTGTTACCAAATTTTTTACTACCAACAATTTATCATCATCTGCACATCTCATTTAACATTAATTGCATTTTTACAAGTCTGTGAGTAGTCCAAATACATAAAACCTTTTCCTAGTGCATATATAAGCTATACACAAAAGAATGGCGCGGTTTCAAAAGTTAATAAAAATTTATTTCTCACCTTACACGGTATGTTGTGCCCGTGTAAGGTGAGAAATAATTTTTTTATTAACTTTTGAAACCGCACCATTCTTTTGTGTATTAGGGGACTTTTCTTTGAATACCTCATTTCTGTGTCTCTCTTGCTCATCCAGCTTTGATTCCAGTGTTGCAATTTTCTCATCATTTTCCTGCTGTTTACTGTTTATAAAGTCAATTTCCTCTTTACAAGCCTTCAAATCTTCTTTTTGCTTAGATATTACACGATCCCTCTCTTCAATATCCAGCTGGTTCCGGCTTAGCCTAATTTGGTGGATCCCTCTCTTCAATATCCAGCTGGTTCTGGCTTAGCGTAATTTGGAGCATCTAGTTAGTTGCTTAGCTAATCAGATAGATCATTAGCATGGTTAACTAATTATTGTAGAAACAGTAGCTAGCTGGTTCAATAACAGAATTGTTTATTGACATGTGGAAGTGTTGGAGGAGGCAAAAATTCACATTCTAGTGTTTCACATATAGATAACTTACGTGCTGAAAAGCGAGTCCATTAACTCCTTCACTTTTTCTTCCAGCTGGCAGTTACGTTTATTTTTTTCAATAATCACGACTTCACATTTGGCACATGTTTCTTGAAAATTGGCTTCATATAGTCCCTGAAATATCAATAGTTGCATATAAGAAGCTTGAAAGACAGAGTTTCTGAGCAATGTCTTCATTAGTTTGTGTACTTCTCGTTAATTGATAATATTCATTCATCTCTCTCAATTTATTTAATGATGCCCTTCAGTTGCATATGTTATATAGTATCTAATGAAATTAAGATTTTAAGTAACTACTTCAATTTAAAATTATGTGGAAAGGAGCAGTAATGAATTATTTGACTATTTATGTTCAGACTAAAACAGATGATAGATCTGAGGGCAGTCTATGTAGAATGGAAAGAGCAGTTTGCGTAGTTGCAGAGTAGGTCAAGAAGGCCAGTTTCTTCCAAAGAAAAGAGACAAACTTCAAGTTTGGCCTTGAAATAAGCCAAGGTGCCTGTTACCAAATTTTTTACTACCAACAATTTATCATCATCTGCACATCTCATTTAACATTAATTGCATTTTTACAAGTCTGTGAGTAGTCCAAATACATAAAACCTTTTCCTAGTGCATATATAAGCTATACACAAAAGAATGGCGCGGTTTCAAAAGTTAATAAAAATTTATTTCTCACCTTACACGGTATGTTGTGCCCGTGTAAGGTGAGAAATAATTTTTTTATTAACTTTTGAAACCGCACCATTCTTTTGTGTATTAGGGGACTTTTCTTTGAATACCTCATTTCTGTGTCTCTCTTGCTCATCCAGCTTTGATTCCAGTGTTGCAATTTTCTCATCATTTTCCTGCTGTTTACTGTTTATAAAGTCAATTTCCTCTTTACAAGCCTTCAAATCTTCTTTTTGCTTAGATATTACACGATCCCTCTCTTCAATATCCAGCTGGTTCCGGCTTAGCCTAATTTGGTGGTCTTTATTTTTATCAGTGGCATCTGTTAGTGATGCCTGCAGGTCATGAACCTGACCCATCATATGGCATCTGTTAGTGATGCCTGCAGGTCCTGAACCTGGCCCATCATGCAAAAAGAAGTAATTATTATTTATGCATTATAACTAAACCTTTAAACAAACACACACAACTGATTTCAATAATGTTCCATATTTGTGTTGGATTGTGGTGTGTTATTTTGCATGGCTAAAAATGTGTCATTTATTCTGTGAGAATAAGACATTTTACAGGTGCTGAGAAGAAAGTGTCCAGTGAAATAAGTGGACTGATGAGAGGTAAAGTAAATAGGAGAATATGAAATATAAGAAAATAAGAACTTAATTATTTATATATGTCACTCAGTTCTAGAGTATACAAATTGAGGTGATAGAGTGTGTTTCTCGGGAAGGGGAAAAGAAGGAGACAGCTGCAAAGAAATAAGAATAAGAGATGGAAGGGAAGGATGAGAAGAGTAAGAAGCCAAAAAAAAAATAGAGAAAGAGGAAGGTGTGATATGTATTGTACGGAGCAAACGCTGGCAGTGCAGATACTTTCAGTAAATAGTTAAATTTAGTGGATATACAAATCCTTTAACATCAGATTGGCTTTTAGTGACATACCTCTTGTTGAAGCTGTGAGACTTGGCCTTCCATTTTTTTGTTTGAACTGCAGATGTTTTCATTTGCTTTCTTCTCCTCTTTGTACTCCCTGACTTGCACTGAAAGGAGAGTATTCTGTTCTTGTCTGCACACATGTGGAAAACAAGGAACATATAATAATCTTGTGTGGAAAGAGGACTTTAGGAACCTATGCATACCTCAGGAATGGATAATAAAACTGAACTTACATAGGAGGTAAACGGAAACAGGTAACAGTTAGAGAAAAAACTGTCTCCCTCCCACATTTTTTGCCCTGGGATTTAATCTGTGTCCCCATAGTAGGAACCTGCCCAATAATTGCCTCATTTATGGCACAATATATCTAGTTAGTTGCTTAGCTAATCAGATGGATTGTTAGCTTAGCTAGCTATTTAGTTATTGGAGAACCAGTTTATTAGATAAGTAGCTAGCTAGTTTAATAACAGCTTTATTTAATGACGTGTTAGAAGTGGTGGAATAGATATGAATATACCTAAGTGTTTGTAATGAAGGTAACTTACATGCTTGAAAGTGATTTATTTTTCTCAGTAATCAAGGCATCATATCTGGTACACGTTTCTTTTAATTTTGCCTCATGTTGTTCCTGAAATGTCAAAAGTTACATGAGCTAAATGAGAAGCTTGAGACAGCTTTTTTTTTTACTGAGCATCTGTTTACTCAAGTTTGTGTGCATCTCATTAACAGATTCCATTCCATTCATTCATGTTTCTTAATTTATTTAATAATGCTCTTCAGTTGCATATATTATAGTATTTAATTAAACCAAGATTGCAAATAATAATTTGAATTTAGATTGATCTGAAAAGAAGCAGAAATAACTTAATCTAAAACTGTATCCTGTAATTTTCCTGGACAGACTGAGAATAAATATTTGCAAGAAAAAATGTAGCTTGCTTCTACTCTGAGAATGTACACACAGGACTTCTTGAGTATGAAGCCTAATGCAAAACAATAGATGTTCACTATCAAGCTGATTGTGATTTTTGGAGGAGTTATTATGACTGAATGAGGAAGAATTAGGCAGAAATTTGTTGCTTAAATAGCTCACCCAGCATCCTGTCCAATGGACACCAGGTGCTTTTTTCCTGGGGAAAATTGACCAGTGGGTGGAAGGGATTGACCACCTGTAGGTAGTGTTAATTTAATAAATGTGTGGAGCTCTACCTCCACTCTCCCTGTATATCTTCATGATGTGGCACTTGGCCACACAGACCTCATATCTGTTTTACCTTTTACATTTCAGTGACAAATGATTCAATTACATGAAGTTCTGCTCAAGACATTTGTAATTACACTTATTATTTACTTCAGCTTTTTTGAGTGTCTCCATCAATTTAGCTTTACCCTCCTCAGCCTCCTTTTTGTGGTCCTCAGCTGATTTCAGTTGTGCTTGAAGAGTCTGCAGTTCATTCCAGAGCTTATCTTCTTGCTCTGATTCTGCACATGAACATAAAACAGTATAAGTCCAGGTATTGGTCAGAATTTGTGATCAGATGGTTCAAAAGTCATAACACAAGTGGAGGTTTAGTATGGGAACATTTTAATTACAGACTAACATGACACTAATATAAGTGAATATGCTATGGAATTAACAGGCAATCTACAAATTGCTTCTTAGTGGGTTTCTGTCAAAGGACTGACTCCTCCAAATCAGCAGTGACATTGCATCTGCATATTTCTGTGGTCTTCCACTTCATTTCACATCTAACATAGAACAGGTTTTGAATGTTTCTTTTTCTTACTTAAGGGAAACAGCCTCAGGTGAAGCTGTTTTATTAAAACACAACACAATATTTACTTTTGTTTTGTTATAACTTTGTCTACTTCATTATTTCTCATGAACCCACATACTCAAAATTAGATGCTCTTCAGTTATTGACTTATATCCACCTAGAGCATGTTTAACCACAAAAGAAAGTTATAGTTGTGTAACACATATCCATAATATCACATTCATGGAAAAGAAGATCCCCGACAAACCTGGGAATCCCAGCCATGGCAACCATCTTCACCCTGCTTCAGTAACATCTTAACCACCCCTCATATTTACCAGATTTTTATCGCCGATTCAAATCTGTATTGGGCTGCCAGAAATAGACTAATGGCTGAGAGGTTGAAGTCTGGTGTAGGACGAAAAAAAAATATTTACCAGATGCTGCTAATGTGCCATCATAAGAAATTTCATCTGTTTTCCTTTTCTCATGACAAATCTTTTGTTATGCCTTGCAGACTATCTGATCACAATTTATGTCTTTCCAAAGATTAAACTTCTAAAATATAAATATGTAATAAAATGTTATTGTTGATGTGATTGCACACAGTTTTCAGGATTTAAGATTTTCATGGCGGTAAATACAAATATGGCGGTCTTCTAAATTGTAGCACCTTGTAGTCTAGTTTATTAAAGTTTCGGAGGTCCTTGCTGCCTCCATCATCATGGCGATGACCACTGTTGAAACATTGGTAAACTTCTACCAGACTACACGGTGCTACAATTTAGAAGACAGCCAGCTTTGTACTTACCCAATTACTTTGTGCAATTTATAGTCATTTAACTGAAGCAGAAATATCCTCTTTATTAGAGATCCTGAAGATTTACCACTGCATTTACAAATAGTTATGTAACAGTCTTGTTTTCTTGAATGGTGTATGTCTGGTAACTTTTTTTTGTATTTCCATTTAATTCAAAACATTTTCCTTTAAACCACATTAAAAAATGAGCAAAATAAGTAAGTTGATAAAGTTTGAAACTTAATACATCTGTGGTAAGATATGAATAGTTCTTACTATTATAATCTCCCTTTTTGTTTTGACATCACTTTTACATAAACTGTAGCTTATTTAGCCTATGTTTCTTTAAAAAAAATATGTATAGTCAGTGCCCAATAGTGCCCTGTCTACATGCTCAACAACCAAACAGTTGTGATGTCAGTCTGTTTTAAACCACAGTACTGATGAGAACATCTGAGGAGTACAGATACCAGGTAGTGTCATCAGATCCAAAACTACATCTGGCCAGCCTCAGACAAAAACAACATTTTGTCCCTCTTAACTCTCTAATATATAAATCTAAACCAGGTGCTTTTTTCCTGGGGAAAATTGACCAGTGGGTGGAAGGGATTGACCACCTGTAGGTAGTGTTAATTTAATAAATGTGTGGAGCTCTACCTCCACTCTCCCTGTATATCTTCATGATGTGGCACTTGGCCACACAGACCTCATATCTGTTTTACCTTTTACATTTCAGTGACAAATGATTCAATTACATGAAGTTCTGCTCAAGACATTTGTAATTACACTTATTATTTACTTCAGCTTTTTTGAGTGTCTCCATCAATTTAGCTTTACCCTCCTCAGCCTCCTTTTTGTGGTCCTCAGCTGATTTCAGTTGTGCTTGAAGAGTCTGCAGTTCATTCCAGAGCTTATCTTCTTGCTCTGATTCTGCACATGAACATAAAACAGTATAAGTCCAGGTATTGGTCAGAATTTGTGATCAGATGGTTCAAAAGTCATAACACAAGTGGAGGTTTAGTATGGGAACATTTTAATTACAGACTAACATGACACTAATATAAGTGAATATGCTATGGAATTAACAGGCAATCTACAAATTGCTTCTTAGTGGGTTTCTGTCAAAGGACTGACTCCTCCAAATCAGCAGTGACATTGCATCTGCATATTTCTGTGGTCTTCCACTTCATTTCACATCTAACATAGAACAGGTTTTGAATGTTTCTTTTTCTTACTTAAGGGAAACAGCCTCAGGTGAAGCTGTTTTATTAAAACACAACACAATATTTACTTTTGTTTTGTTATAACTTTGTCTACTTCATTATTTCTCATGAACCCACATACTCAAAATTAGATGCTCTTCAGTTATTGACTTATATCCACCTAGAGCATGTTTAACCACAAAAGAAAGTTATAGTTGTGTAACACATATCCATAATATCACATTCATGGAAAAGAAGATCCCCGACAAACCTGGGAATCCCAGCCATGGCAACCATCTTCACCCTGCTTCAGTAACATCTTAACCACCCCTCATATTTACCAGATTTTTATCGCCGATTCAAATCTGTATTGGGCTGCCAGAAATAGACTAATGGCTGAGAGGTTGAAGTCTGGTGTAGGACGAAAAAAAAATATTTACCAGATGCTGCTAATGTGCCATCATAAGAAATTTCATCTGTTTTCCTTTTCTCATGACAAATCTTTTGTTATGCCTTGCAGACTATCTGATCACAATTTATGTCTTTCCAAAGATTAAACTTCTAAAATATAAATATGTAATAAAATGTTATTGTTGATGTGATTGCACACAGTTTTCAGGATTTAAGATTTTCATGGCGGTAAATACAAATATTGTGGTCTTCTAAATTGTAGCACCTTGTAGTCTAGTTTATTAAAGTTTCGGAGGTCCTTGCTGCCTCCATCATCATGGCGATGACCACTGTTGAAACATTGGTAAACTTCTACCAGACTACACGGTGCTACAATTTAGAAGACAGCCAGCTTTGTACTTACCCAATTACTTTGTGCAATTTATAGTCATTTAACTGAAGCAGAAATATCCTCTTTATTAGAGATCCTGAAGATTTACCACTGCATTTACAAATAGTTATGTAACAGTCTTGTTTTCTTGAATGGTGTATGTCTGGTAACTTTTTTTTGTATTTCCATTTAATTCAAAACATTTTCCTTTAAACCACATTAAAAAATGAGCAAAATAAGTAAGTTGATAAAGTTTGAAACTTAATACATCTGTGGTAAGATATGAATAGTTCTTACTATTATAATCTCCCTTTTTGTTTTGACATCACTTTTACATAAACTGTAGCTTATTTAGCCTATGTTTCTTTAAAAAAAATATGTATAGTCAGTGCCCAATAGTGCCCTGTCTACATGCTCAACAACCAAACAGTTGTGATGTCAGTCTGTTTTAAACCACAGTACTGATGAGAACATCTGAGGAGTACAGATACCAGGTAGTGTCATCAGATCCAAAACTACATCTGGCCAGCCTCAGACAAAAACAACATTTTGTCCCTCTTAACTCTCTAATATATAAATCTAAATATATATATATTTATTTATTTATTTACAGTTCTTACACTGTATTACGAGTATATGAAATATTCAGATGAGCATACAAGACATACTGGCTCTCTCCTCTTTTGGTACAGATTAATTCTTTCCCTGTGCAGGATATTTAAACTGAGTCACATGACCCATTCTCTTACTTACTTAATTAGCACATTTGTAGATGTGTTGAAATGAATAATGTGTTTGGAATTGGCAAGTGTCTCATTTTTTGGGGCCCTTTTTATGACTTTTCATCTAACATGAAGAAACAAAAATGGACCTCTTGTCATGCTTGGTTTGCAGGAAGCTTATGGCTAAGATTTTTGCTGGCTGAATGACTTACTCAGTAACTGATCAGTTTGGTCAACTGGCAATTCACTGTACAGCTGACTAATAGACTTACTGACTCATTGCACTTACTAACCAGCTAACTGCCTGTCTTACTGACCCACAATCACTCGCCAATTAGGCTGATTGGCCAGCTAATTGACTAATTGTATAACTCAATAACTGACTGACTCATTAACTCGCTAATTGGTTGTTTAGTCCCTGATCCATTAATTTATTGATTGATATCATTATTTATGTCATGACTGATGGACTTTTTAAAAGATTACTGAGGATAGCAGCAGAAGCTTCCAAAACATACAGAACTTGTTCAAGCATGGCTTGTCTATAGCTTGAGAATACTTCATTCATAATAAGTATTCTCTGGAAACTGCAATGTAGAAAACTGTATTTATATTGATGTTTTTAAGGTCATGAATGCTTTAGCTTACCAGTAATTGTGACAGCATAATCCACGTTGAATTCACCTACTCCTTTATCTTCATATTTTTTGATGGATTGTGTGTCTGCAGGAGTTTCCTCAGTGCTCAGATCAAAAAATTTTAATTTTTCCACAGGTACAAAATCTCTGCCTGTTAAGCTCCGTATTCTGTCATGCAGGTCAATGAGGCTTGAGTATTCTTCCTTTAAGTTCTCCTAAAGAAAAATATGCATAATGCGTATAACACCATTTTCCATTTGCATTCTTTACTATTTTACATTCCTCTAATGGTTATGTGGTGGTGTACAGTTATTAGAGACAAAGAACACTGTTGCAGGTATAATTATAATACAGATGTGGTCCTGCAGAGACCAATCATTTTATTTTTATTTCATTAAGTAGTGACAACAGTAAAAAAGAAGTTTGAAATAAATTATACAGATTTTAATGACACTGAGATTATTACATTTCATACCATGAACCAGTTTTGTGTATGGTGAGATATTTTGTGTAAAATGGATAAAGTCTGACTAAAGATTAATGAAAAACAGGGGTAAATTAGACTAATACAGTAATTAATTTTGCCCAGCAACTTTTAGTGTATTCCTCCCACTCCCTTCCACTGAAATACCAAATTTCATGAACATAATTTCAATACTTCCAGAATTAAACATGTAGATGAAGTATCAAAACTGTGACTATTCACAATGCAGCCATTTCATACTGTGAATATAAAGAACACATAATATAGAAAATAAGCACTGACTTGGAGATTCTCACCCGTCTTTTTTTAAAATCAGTTTTCAGTGAATACAACTTCTTTGTTTTGACATGAAACTGTGCTTCCAACTTCTTCAGGTCCTTCTCATTAAACATTAGAGGTCCTTTTGTTATGTTCACTCTTGGAGCTGGCTTGTTTGCCACATTGGGCACAAACAAAGGTCCTGCTGTGGTAGCTTGTGTCTTCTTTCCATTGTGCAATTCATTGCCTTTGTCTCTGTTCAGGCCAGTTCCATTTTTTGCCTGAAAGAAAAAATAATTTTATAGGTTAACCAAGAAAACTAAGTTACCTGATTTCCAAAGAGACTTGTACATTTTTCTTGTTTCAGACAAGTTCCCTTTTTAGCACCACCAGGGACTACTTCTAGATATGAAAATGTGTACAAATCCATATTATTCACCTGTTTGAGTCACATTATAAGTCAGTGCATATTTTAGTTTGTTTCTGGTAGTTTTAAAGTATTCTGTCAATGGTATTGTCATATTCTTTCCAAATTCTGAGAGAACCTACTCCTTTTAGATAATTTTGTGGAACTAGAGTACAAAACAGAATTGTGTGAGAAGAAAATAATAAGTAATCCAGGAGTTTTTGTTTCCTATTTGATTTTTAGTTAAACAGTTTCTGTTTAGCATAGATAATTTTTTATCTATTTTCACTGTCTATCCTGAGGAATGAATACTTACTTATCCTGTAAAAGACAGATTCTGTTTATTTCAGTTTCTGCTGTAGACAGATTTAATGGTATTTTGACTCAAGGCTGATTGCAGAAAGGTGTAATATTATAATCAACCTAGATATTTGCTAAAGATGGTATTTAAAGGAAGTGTTGGAGGAAGAAGCACAGTTGGAAGACCTAGGAACAGATGGGAGGATGCAGTTCAAACGGATGCCACACTGCTCCTGAGGATTAGAAATTGGAAGAAGGCAGTGGAGGATAGGACCGAATGGAAGAGGAGAATTGAGGAGGCCATGGACTGAATATGGACTGGAGAGCCATAGAAGAAGATATTTGCTAAGAATATGAATTGGTTCTTATGCTACTGAATGACACTGTATCAGCTACATACATTGAGACAGAAGTAAATGAATGTGCTATAAAGAATTGATGTGCAGGTACCAGTGGGTAAAGCAACATTAGAAAGGTGAACTCTATGGAGTACACCAACATTTCAGAGGCATTCTTCACACCATATAATAAACAATGATGCCAGTACAGCAACCAAGGGTTGATGGTTGCTCAGTTCATAGGAAAAATATGACAGACAGACATGGACAGGCCCATAATGTAGTCTTTCCTCATGCTAGCACATGAAGAACCAATGTGCCACCACAACGTTCATCAATCGTTTTATCTAGCGTAACTTCCATACCAATTTAATAAAAATCTGCCCAGCAGTTCTCAAGTTTAGACATACAAATGTTTGGACAGAACTGTTCGCCCTTTTTATTCCGTTTTGTGAATACCATGAAAAAAAATCATAATACCTATAATGATGATGATGCTAGATATGTTATTGTATTTAAGGTAAGATGGTAGCATGCACACATACATTAGGAGAATCTAAAGATGAGGCGACTTTGATGAACTAGACATAAATGGGAGGATAATATTGAAATGGCTCTTAATTAAATAGGGTGAGAGTATGTGGACTGGATTTATCTGGCTCAGGATAAGGTCCAGTGACATGTTTTTCAGAAAATGGTAATGAATCTTTGGGTTCTTGATCAGGTGGGCACCTATAATTTTTTCAAGAAGGACCTTGTCCTTTGGAGTTGAATGTTCAGAAAGTTACCTTGGGTGTAGGCCTCTTCATCGCTGCGCCTGCGTCTGGAGAAGGCGTACTTCCTGCAATTCTAGGAGGAGACACACGATCTAAAGGAGTTCCACAGAATGCATTACATATCATAATGTTTCAAGTTTGAAACAGTACATGTACTACACAGAAAGTGTTTCAAAATGAGTAATGCGTGTTTTGTAAGGATATTAAATATTATCTCTCTAAGGCAGGGAACATAAATCACGAGTATTTAAAAGTATTTGAATCTAAAGCAAAAAAGTAAGCAAACAATTTAGGACATTACATAACGAGGAACTTTGTGATTTACAGGCCACGTAGTGGAATAGTCCTGCGAGAGTAGAATCACGGATGGAATGATGGTTTCGGCACATAGGTGGTACAGCGGGAAGCAGGATTACATATCGGATTATATTGTGGAAATCTCTTGCAAAATGCCTATTTAAAGAGATGTGAAGATAATATTAAACTTGATCTTAAGGAGTCAGACTGTGAGGATGCGTTGTGAATAGAACTGGCTGGCCCAGCGCTGAAACATTATTACTTAGTACGATACTGGAGGAAAAACTTTTTTCTTAAAAGTGATATAAAACGAGCCTCGTGAATCCTTGAAAAACGGCCTATGTAACTATAGTTAAAGACTGTAATCTTGAGACTTGCGGGGTGAGGAAGTGGGGTGAAGGAAGAAAGACAGCGTGTGCCTTTAACGCTCAGGACTTCCTGCATTCCTTGCAAGTCTCAATATTGCAGTCGCGCACTGTACCTTATATGTTTCACAGTCATACGAAAAATTAGCAAAATTCTTTTAAAATGAATATCTTGATACTTAATTTTTCAGAAAATAAAAAAATTGTTTTGAAAATAACTAAAGAATATTGCAATTGTATTTCGTTTTCTCTAGTTATGTACGAAATTTGGGATTGTGAAAGGTCTCACATCAAGTTTTAAGTTTCTTATTGGCACTTAGCCGAATTAAAACATATTTGGTAGTAAAGTAGGTAAAGTGAAATGCATTAAAATACTTACTGACTTTCTTCAATAATTTTGTGTTTGTCGCCATTTTACAACGCTGGAGAAACTATAACAATTTTGCTCAATATGAACATCTCATTGCGAAATAAATTTCCAAACTGTTGTATAGCAACGCCCAGTTGTGTAACAATGATTCCGGATCTCAATAATACAAACGGCCCCTGACCAATCACGGATGTGTTTATGCGTGACGTCACGTCACGTGTGTGTGTGCGCGTGCGTGCGTGCGCGCGCGTGCACACGTGTACGTACATACATCTTAATTACATTCCATGGATCCATAAGTTAGTCAGATGACAATAGCATGTAGAATAAGTCATAGTGGGTGGTTGCATTCCATTACGTCCATGTAGAATAAGTCTCAGTAGTAGTTTCACCACTATACAGATTATTGTTGGTGTATAGGTTAGGGTTGGCCTCTATTTCATTTAACACCATGCATTGAAGATTTAGTAGCATGTATTTAATTGAATGTCATCCCTTCACAATCGTATTGTTTCTGAAAGTGTACCTCATAGTGTGATTAATGTGCCATATCAGTAACAGTGTGAGGGAATTAAGTTTTTTTGTGTTCTGAAAGAATTAAAGTCGTGCTTGCATTGCGTGGTCGGCCGGCGCTCTGTTGATGTGGGCGGGAGTTGTGCGCGTTCTTCCGGTGGGTGACCGGCGAATCAGTTTCAGTGCCGCTAGTAACAGCGAACTATGAATATTTCTCGTAACTAATACATGTTATTACATTAATTGTTCTTACCTTAAATCACAAAAGATGTTCAAAGTGACTTTCTTGTGCTTGCAGGCAACTTCACGTCTTGTTAACATGTTTCAAAATACTCGACGAAGCTCTTCTTGGGAAATTGCCGAATATTTTCTTTAAGTGCTTCTGCAGTGTGCGGATAAATTGTGAACGTTATGTAAATTTAATAATTAGACCCTTTTTCCAAGAAATGGCCGATTAAGGAAAGTCTTACGGTTTCTTAATGCAAGACAATGCTACAGCTCACACAGATGATCGGTCGATGTTAGCATTAAGAGAAGTGCTTGGTGAACAAGTTATCGATCAGTGGCCTTTGCGTTCCCCAGACTTAAACCCGTGCGATTTTTACCTGCGGGACATGCTGAAGAAGAAAGTTTATGTAAACAATCCGCTATTTTGAGAACAACTGGAAAATGTTAACCTGTGTAATTGTTCTTCCTATGATTTGTTTTTTGAGGATGGATCAGTAAATGTCCCCCTTTGAAGTGTCCATACTGTAGAAGTGATCAGTTTTGTGGCTGAGAATTATAAAATGAGATTCAGTGGCTTTTGTAGCCGTGCTTAAAATACACATATCTTTGAAAACCCAATCTTCATTGAAGTCAGTGATGCTTCAGAACAATTACAACTTAAATTGATTTATCTGCAGTATGTCTAAATTTTGTGTAGTATCAGCTCGAAAGCTTTATTTACCCTTTATGTTTCTTTACCAGTCTCTCAGTTATGTAAGTTATCATACAATTTGGCAAGTGTATTTGTTAGCACATTTACAAGTGGACAGGCATTATCACATGAAACAAAATACAATTTTATTTAGGAATCACTGATGTGCACTTCTATGTTGTAATGTGAATTGTCATTTTGGAAAGAGAACCAAATGTTTTAATTTATCTTTTGGAGAAAAGGAAGGTCTAAGCTTCTTATTAATATGGCAAGTTTAGACTGCTTTTTGTTGTGATGTTCAGTTTTGTGATGGCTAAAGTAGAGATATTTAAATTCTTCAGCCTTCATGGCACATTGTACCTTTCAAGCTGCCTAAAAGATATAGATAATTGAGAGTTTGATTTTTATAAGGTTGGATCATCTTGAATGTCTACAGCAAGCAGCCTTATAACCAGCACTATTCATAGCTACTGAGATTGACCTGAAGCTATAAATAGCTTGTCTCCTCAGTGTGGCTCAAGCAGTACAGCTGTAATCAGCTAGCAGTAACAATGTTGTCAACTTGTATCAGATATATCTGTAAACGTGGGGTAATGCTTTGTAACTTGTAAATGCAATTTAGAAGTAACAAAAATCACATTGTTCTGATTTTTTCTCAGAATTGTGTTGGATTTACTCTTTCACATATTGGTAAATTATTACTCTTGGTGCAGTTCAGTGTATAAATTGTGTAACTGCAGTACATTATGTTGTCTGAGCTTTTTTCACAGACAATGGATATTTAGTTACAGAAAAAATTACATTTACATGATTTTGACATTTCACAGGAACATCATTTCATTGAGTCAGTTCTCATTTACCCAGTTGCATTTGATCTATGTTGTTGATGAATGTTTTTTTTCTGTAGAAAGTTCTGGTTTCTAATGATAGGCATTAGTTTGGTTATGTGTGTTAGAATATTACAGATGCTGGCTTTGTCCATTCATCAGTCTCTGAGAGCATCTGCATTTCTTTTGAACCCCTTGAGGTATTTGCATTTTCAAAGTATGACTATAGCAGTGTCTGAAGCTGAAAGGAACATTATTTAACCATTAAATGGGAGAATACCCACTAACTCTAAATAATGAGTGAACTTAATTTCAGTGACATTGACTTAAAATGTTTATCATTTTAGAATGTTAATAGTTTCTTGTCGTGGTTTGTGATTCACATAATCAGTTTAGAAGGCTAGGATGAGGTGTGTTACAGATGTTTCTGTTTAGGAAAAATAACTAAGTAAATTCTAATTTTTGTCTCAGATTGCAGAGGTTGGCTAGTTCACCTCCCTCCCATAGAAAATATTTTGTCTGCCAGGCTAAGTTCACCTTTCAGAAGAGAATTTACAGGTATTATAACTTAAGCAAGTGAATTAATATTGCAACTGTGATGTTTTTGGTTTGTAATGTTTGTTTTGTTTCAGAAACCACAGTCTTTGCATTTGGTTTCTTGTAGTAACAATTATGCTACAGAAGCAACATTTGAAACTAAGGTATCTTTACATGGCAGGTATGCATGGGTTTGTTGTTACCTTTGTTGTAAATGTTATTACATGGTCTTTCAAAAAGGGCATTCCATTTTAAAATGTTATCTGATTTTGAATTTTGTAAAGAGGAAGCTTGATGTCTTGTTGGATGATTTTGTATGTTAATTATGCAAAGAGAGTCTATGATAAATGTTTGATTGATTTGTGAGAGCTGTGAGCAAGCTCATATTTAACATGAGAGGCATTTTCTTCTCTGCAAACTTTTATTTTTGTTTACAACCTCTTTTACATCACCTGTACATTCAGATTTGTGGAACTGGTCTCGTAATCATAGACTTGTATGATGCATGTCTGTAGTCATATTTTCTACAGAAGTCTTGTTAATTCTGAAATCACTTTTGGTAAAAATAAGCCCTACTGTATATGGCATCATGGCTATAAGTGAAAGCAAAGGGTAGTACAACAGACATCTCAAACTCCCGACTCTGATGACTGGTATTTTATTGTTTCTTTCTACATAGCACAGATCAAAGATTGTAAAGGAACAAGAATGGAACATCTTTTTTTAAAGACATTGTGTAAAAGTAATATCTGATATTGAAATAACTTTTCAGTCTGGTATTTTTTCCTGCATTGAGATCATGTTAACTGTAACAGTTGCATTTGTGGCTTGCAGTATTGAAATTGTCAGGATCAGCCCTTCAACTGAATCACAGTTTTTCATGTTACTTTAATATCACCCCTGAAAAATGTATCATTTTACAGGTCCCACAGAAAATTAATTGTTGGTGTAACAGTTGACATTTTGATAATAGATGTACAAATGCATGAACTATATTATAATCTTGCATTATAATTCATTACAGAATAGAAATTTATATTGCATGATTCTGTACTCATCCTCCCATGTATTTTACCAGCTGGTCTTGGGAGAGGCTCACCTTTTGATTGAGAGATTGAGATGGGGGGAAGAGTTTAGTGAAATGTTTTTATATACATTACTACTTTCCTTACATATCTTTTATGCTCTTTCCCAAGAATTCAGTGTAAAATGTATAAATAATACATTCCGTATAAAATGGTTCTTGCTAGTTTAAATATCTTTGGTAATTTGTGTTAAAATTTGAAAGAAGGTCAATGAATGCAGAAAAATATTTAGTGTTAGGCAATGTTTTCCAGTTCATGAACTTTGCTTGCATTTTTAAAATACTGTGATATGTTAAAACTGAGTTTTTGGCTGTACACAACATACATTTTCTCATAAATACAGAATGTATATAATTCTAATTTATGAATTACCAGTACTGTCTGGGGTGGTTTAAATAATCACCAAACTCCAAGATCAATTTATATGTGTTTGCAGCCTTTCCGCTTGCACAGACTGGAGTCTGGGCCTTCAAACATTGTGAGCATTACACGTGATGATGCATTGGATTTCTACAACAAAATGCATATGATCAGGAGACTGGAGACTGCTGCTGGTAATTTATATAAAGACAAGTTCGTCCGAGGTTTCTGCCACCTGTACTCTGGCCAGGTCAGACTGACAGTTCCACAACCTTTACAGTCCACGACTGTAATCTTGAGACTTGCAAGGAATGCAGGAAGTCCGAAGTGTTAAAGGCAGACGCTATCTTTCCTCCTTCACCCCACTTCCTCACCCCGCAAGTCTCAAGGTTACTGTGACTTAATTCGTAATAGTCGCTGAGTGTAAGATAACGTGACTGCCTATGGTTCCATAGTCGAGGCATGAAATTCTCTTCAGAAATTTGGATGAGGACTTAGTGCATGGCATTAGTTATTAATGTTACAGAAATGAAGTACATAATACCTTCATACCATCAGAACACAATTGTTTATTACAGATATTCACCCTACACGGTTAGCATCTTAAAGGGAATCTCAATGCTGAAGTTTCTTAAAAGGTTTACATAATTATTAGTGCTTCATAAACCTATGTCTATTATTCTACACTGAAAATATTACGTTTTTAATTTTGTATATATGTACATGTTCTTTATTGTTCATCATTCTCCTTATTCTGTTTTCCATGATTATTTGCTATAGAATTGAAAATGTTATATTATTGATTTTTGTAAATAAATAGGTGATAGAATGTAAATCTTTTAGGGGGTTGGATGGCCCTTCTGCTGCGGTCTTCCTTCATTTGGTGAACTTAATAGAATATAATGGCAGTGGATACTATATTAAAGTAATACAGAAATTAAAATCAAACCCATTAGCCTCCTAGTAAAATATGATATAATATAATATTGCAGTAGGTGGCCAAGAGAGAAGGTTGTCGTCTCCGTTTGCAGCAGCATGTCCGATCCAGCGCCGTGGAAGAACACGATTGAGAAGCACTCGTACATTCCTGTGAAAGGGGGGGGGGGCTCCGTCCAGTTGTAGAATGTAATCATCATAATTGGTATTCAGTTGGGGTAACAACCAGCTTTCCAACATGTCCAAAAATGAGTCACCAGTCACAGTTGCACCATTCTTTTGTGTATATCCTGTATTTTTAAAAATAAACTTATTATAGTTATAATTAATAATAGCAGTTTTCAAATAATTTAACATTATGATCATAAATTACTAAATAATAAACTATTACTGTAAAAACACCATGTAAACTACATTCTCAATTCCCAAAACTTCTCTCACCAATATATGAAAATCATGAACCCACAGGTATGAGATGAATACTTTCAGTAGTGTTGTGATGTGGCATGAAGAGCTCTTTTTGTGTAAATGATTTTCTCAATTCAGACTAACATTTCCCCTCACTGTCATTGTAAACTTAGCAGCTGAGGGTGCCTTCTGGAACCATTTCTCATTTTTGGAATTTATAATGCTGCTTGGTAAGGTGTGCTTAATAACATTATACGTCTAAATTAGTCCATGTTGATATATGAATGAACAGTTTGTCAGAACGTCTGAAGGGAAGAGACTGCATTGGATATTTAGGTGGATGGAAGAACAATACTGAAATTGATCTTGAAGGAATAGTATGTGGATATTGACTACATTCATCAGACTCAGTATAAGGTCTCTTGACGGGATTTTGTGAACATGGCAGTAAACCATTGGATTCCATAAAGGTTAGGGGAAATTGTAATAGCTGAGCAACTCTTTGCCTCTCAAAAACGACTCTGCTTTTTGGGGTTAATTAAGTATGGAGTTCTTGTTTGAGATGTGCAACAGTTAACATTGTTTCTACAGGAGGCATGTGCTGTTGGAATGCGAGCAGCCATGCGGCCTCAGGACTCTATAATCTCAGCTTATCGCGTGCATGGTTGGACATACCTAATGGGTGTGCATCCCTTGGGTGTATTGGCAGAACTCACGGGCCGTCAGTCTGGCTGTGCTCGTGGTAAAGGTGGATCCATGCACATGTACACAAAGAACTTTTATGGTGGAAATGGTATTGTAGGAGCTCAGGTATAAATATACAAGTTAATGTAAATGTGTAAGATCTGAGTTTTCCATGACAGTGAAAATTGGATTGTGGTCTTGTGGGTTATGATATCACGCCTACCAACATTGCAGAGGAATCTATTATCTTCAACTTCAGCTTAGAAGCTATAAGAAGATTACACAGCATCATAACTCTGAAGGTCACAGTCATAATGTACAAATTTGTCTAGATACTAGCCCTCCTGTCTTTTATTCATGACATCTCAGGGAGATTCTCAATCTGAGACTGAACATTACTTACTGAATTCTCTTAATGTCTTTGGCAGTGGTATTTTATTACTACTTTCTTTCTTTGTGATTTTATTCATTGTCTCAAAAAAATCTTTAAACTTAAAAATATCACATTTTGAAGGATGGATCATCTTTTGTCTTCAGCTGAAAAGAAAGATATGTATTCTGCTGGATCTGGTACACTGAGCTATTCGTGATCTGTCTACAGTTTGGGAATAGCTCAATCTACTGCTCTGTCATTACAGGAATTGATATTGCTGCTTCTAGATTAATGTTTAATTTAGATTTTAAAAATTACAATGTCAAAAGTAATATATGGGTATATTAATTATTGTTCACTTATATATACAGTTTGTGCAAGATCTTTATACACTGAAAAATTAAGTATTTACTGTACAGATATTCTGTAGGTTCCATTGGGAGTGGGTGTTGCATTTGCAGCCAAATACTCTGGAACTGATGGCATCTGCTTGGCACTTTATGGTGATGGTGCTGCCAACCAGGGTCAGATATTTGAAGTATACAACATAGCAAAGCTGTGGGACATCCCTTGTATCTTTGTTTGTGAAAATAATGGCTATGGAATGGGCACTAGTGCAGAAAGAGGATCAGCTAGCACTGCATTCTACACAAGAGGGGACTATGTTCCTGGTATCTGGGTAAGATTTTTAAATAAACTGCATATACTAGTCACTCATTTATTGCAGATCTGTGAGCCATGCTTTACTCATCATGCTTCATTACATAATTTTACAAAATTTTGTGATCAAAGACGTGGGTGCATAAGTTATGTGAAGTTGCAATTGATCTGCTATGAAGAGCATCATAAACTCGAGAACATCATGTATTTTATTAAACTTTGTTTTAACATGTTTTCATTAAATGCTATACAAATAATTGGATTTACCAACATCTTAATTGTGTTATTCTGTAAGATTACATGTTATTATTAGACTTAGTAAACAAAACTAAACTCTAGTTCTGTTCATAGTTGCATTTCAAACAAGTGTTGAGTTGTTTGGGTTTAACATTTTATTTTCACATGTTAAATCAATTCATAACATGAATCTGTTTACTCTTCAATTTCAGGTAGATGGAATGGATGTATTGGCTGTTCGAGAGGCCACACAGTTTGCAGTCAGTCATTGCATTAGTGGTAAAGGTCCCTTAGTTATGGAGACAATGACCTACCGTTACAGTGGCCATTCCATGTCTGATCCTGGCACGAGCTACAGGACCAGGGAAGAAGTTCAGGAAGTCAGGCAAACTAGGGACCCTATCACATTGTTCAAGGAGAAGATTATTACAGCTGAACTGGTGACTGTTGATGAACTGAAGGTAAGATGCACTGGTGCATATCCTGGAATTTATGTAGAGTTCTGCAGTAAGTTGTCACACTTTAAATTTTGGTGAATGTTATATTATAACTGTACTGACTTTGGAATATTTTGAATTTAAGTAATGTAACTTTCTTTATATTTTATTCATGCCATGAATTCCCAGATTGTGATGAAGATTGTAATCTTGGCCCAGAGATTGGCTATTTTAATTGAAGATTTATGGTTTTCCTCAGTCTCTTCAGGCAGATACTGGGATATTACCTTAAATTGGAATTTTGACATTTAATCTACCATGCATTTTCCATATTTACAAAATATTGTTTGTCCTTAATTATTTTTTTAAGATGGCTGTCTTCTGGGCTGTAGCACCTTGTAGTCTGGTGGAAGTTCTACTAGACTACTTTGCCATCTTAAAAAAACAATGTACAGAGAATGATGATTTGTAGTCATTGCTGTGAGAACCTCAAATCCTATTTATTATTTTTCTCTGTTTGTTGTGTGTTATTTCATTACAGCAAATGTTTGTTGCTGAAATATGAAAACTTTTATGTAATATGAATATACGCATAGAAGGCAGTGGTTTTCAGACTGGATGGTGCAGTCAAAATGAGACACAGAACACATGTGAAACAGGTGGATTGGGGAAGAGCTAATGCAGAAAAGAGTTATCTTAATCTCTTCACATATTTAACCTGAAGGGTTATGCTGTCAGTTTTTTGAGGGGGGGAAATGCATGCATGTTGAGAATGGAGAGGTCTCTGGCAGGTGCTATTTAGTCGATGCCTTCAGGATATTCTGTTTGCGCTACTGCTGGGAATTTATGCTACCAAAACCATATTTATGAATATGTTAATTGACACTGTTGTTCTTGTGCAGGTGATTAGTGATACAAAATTGTATGTTCTACTTCCAGAAATTGGAAAATGAAATTCGAGTAACAGTAGATGAGGCTGTGAAGAAGGCAAGGGCAGATAATGAGATTGGTTTGGATGAACTCACTTGCGATATTTACTCTGCCCCCTTGGAACCAACTGTCAGAGGCATCACACCATGGAACAACTTGGAACATAAAAGGCTTGGACCAGCTGTGAATCTTCATTAGATTGAGTTTGAACATTAGGTACTGTGGTGCCTGGAACAGGTCAACTACAAAACCACAGCAATGATATGCCTTCTAGTATAACAGTGTACATAATCTGGTAAAACTATACTCTTTTGTGTTTCTTAAAAATTTACACTTTATTTATTCTGAATGTTTTGAAATGAAAGGTAAGTTGTTAAAGTTCACATTGAAATCTTTCAATTACTAGTGCTCAGTGCACCATTGTCTTGTACATAAAATAATACATAATCTTGTAATTTCACAGATGGATCAATTGGCCACACTGTATATCTCACAATAAAGTGTTGTATAGGTGGAAAATGATATTGAATAATAATAGTTAACAATGGTTATGCTCCAAGACAAAACTGTAAGGAACTACTATTTATTCATCTTGTGAAATATTTTCTGGGAGCCTGCAAAGTGATTGAGTGTTTATCTTGAATTGTACTTGTTTCGTGTGTTTATATTTTGTACACACATTCATCACACATATGATGCTACCTTTGTGCTCATCAACTCATTCTTTCCAGTCCATTGTCTTTAATTACCCTGCTTTGTGATTCAAGTCTTCATTTCATTTTAGTTTTTCAGTCATGGACTTTATTTGAGTAGAGTAGAATAAAATCAGAGGGAATGGGTATCCAACCCCTTTGCACTGTGACCAATAAAAGTGTAATCTTCACCTCCACATTTATTTCATCAGCATCCTTGCATGCTGAATAAATTACATTAATTTTCTGGTTGTAGTTGTATGATATTCACTAGTGTTCTATAAATGAGCTGAAAAGTGACAGTGCTGCAAGGGACCAACAATATCATAAAACACAATCATAATTTATTAAAAATGCTACTGATTACTCATATTATTGCAAACAGGTTTACGTTACTCAGTAATTGTCTTTAACAGAATCAGTCATTAGTGAAAATGGTGGTGGATAATGTACAGGAAGTAGTTTGCTTCAACAATGCACCATCATCACAAACTTCAGAATTTTCAACCATGCTGTTCATTCATATTTAGACACACAAAAGACGTGACAAGGATGGCGATATTATGTATGCGGAAAATAAATAATTTGTTCTCTTCACAAAATGTTTGAGTGATCAAGTTGGCAAAAAATGAGGTGGGCAGGTTATGTTGTGCTCATGGAGGAGTACAGAAAAGTAAACAATTTTAGTGAGGAAATTATGAAGAGAAGACACTAGTATTATAAGAAGCAGTGTGAAACTGATTCATCAGGCCCAAGATAGGATCTGATGGTAGATTTTTGAAAACGTAAACAAACTAGGCGTTTCGATAAAAGAAGGGGGGGTGGAACTTGACCAACTGAGAGGTCACCAATTTCTCAAGAATTCTGCTCCGTAATAATACTTTTATCCAAGAGAAGATGAACTTGCCGCACATATAATTAAATCTGTACAACCTGTCACTAAATGTAATTTCGAGGGAAGAAGCGGATGGTATGATACAATCCGCATATGAAGCTCCCAATAGAGAGAAATGTTTTCGTGACTGCTTGGCTGCACTGGTCCCACTTATCGAAATTCAGTCATGAGTTTTGTCCTTTGATTGCGGGAAAAGCGTAGGTTATGTTTGCACGATGTGTGTATGGAATTAATGTATTATAAAGATGTCAGCAAATTCAGAAGCACATACAGAGAAGAAAACGAACGCTTTCAACAAAAAGGAATGGAGGCGACGGAAGTATAGTAATAAGTATAAAGGTAAAATTCACTGATACTGTTTCAAAACACTGCGCGATATGATTAGAATCTTTATTACGTGTAAGTCGGATTCATAATCTCGTCATGGGAAGCGTTTCGTGTAGTTTCAGTATAATGTGTATGCATTTAAGTAATTGGTTTAAAGTAGGCCTTAAAAATACGCACTACCTCAGGCCCTTCACCTGCAGAAGGAAGGGTTACGGAGGACGATGTTAGTTGAGGTGAAGTATTGGATTAGAGTGTGAAAATAACAATATTTTACATCAGATTTCAATATTAACTTTCACTGTATGAAAATGGGTGTTAAGTCCATGTACTACAGGCTGCCAGCTGTACTGAACTCCAGGGTTAATGGTGATATGTATTGTGTGTGTGAAAGCGTTTTTAAAGCCTACTAACTTTGGAACTTCATGTAGTTGAACAGTGGGAAGAGCACAGACGAAGAGCTGTTCTCCGCAGTTATCACAAAGAGTTGAGGAGGTCTGCAAGCCAGTCGTCTGTTGGAAAAAACCACATGTCCACATCATTAATTTGTGAAAATAAGGAAAGGTATGAGTGTTACTTCATCTCTCAATTTATGTTCGTACCTAGAGTGTGAAATCTCATTGAGCTGACTTGTTTATTTTTATGCCTCTAGTTCTTGTCAAACTATGCTCAATTGCAATTCTCTATTGCATTTTCTTGAACAGATTTTGTGCTTTTCTAGGCCAGCATTTTTATTAAGTTTGCAGGGAAATAGACATAGCGTGTTTTCCCCAGAACTTCTGATTTTCTTTTTCAGGTTACCAAGATTAACTGCATACCAGAAAGCAGAGGAGGATTATAAGTGCAAACAAGAAGAAAAGATAGCAAAGCTGAAAGAAGACCAAAAGAAGAGACAGGAAAGATCACAAGCTATTGCCAGATACCAGAATAACAAAGCAGAAGTGTTCAAGAAGTTATCCAAGAAAACAAAGAAGGGCCAACCTGTAATGAAAGGAAGGATAGAAATTCTGCTTGAGAAGTTGCAGCAAGATTTGCAATCTTGAACTGAATATACTGACATAAACTGAGTCTTGTTTTGTTTTTAATGTACACTTGATAAAGCAATGGAATCCATTTTAATAGTGAGCCAGAATTTGAAAACCATCAATTCCTTTCATGAAATATGAGAGTATTAGTGAACTGAAGCATTTCCCCCTCTATATTTTGTTTGTTTTGGATAAGCGTCTTGTGAACATATTTTTAATAAACCCGTGGTTAATGTTACAAGTAAAATAAGATCAGCTATTTCTTTGTGAAATTGGCAGATACGATGATAAGGTTTGTTCTTTTCTGATTTCCAACTCTTGTTTCAGCAGGTGCATTCTGTAGCCACTTCAACAGTTTTCTTTCTTTTACATGTGGTTAACCTTTAATGGATAATAGAATGTGTCCTAGTATGTTAAACAGCCAAATGGAACATCAATGTCCTGCTGGGGAATGGAAGTAGTTAATATCCTGCTGCCCTTAAAAATATATCTGGGTTAGTTAGTAACTGGATCTCAGTGTCTCATTATGTAATTTTGTAGCATGTTCTGTCCAATACCATAGTGTCCTTGAAATTGGTACAATGGCCTTTATTAATGCTGTACTTAGCCATTGCCAGTTTGTGTGGTTGGTACAGGTGTATGTGTCGTACATGATCTGTACATTTCATGTAGGTGGTATAGCCTTTCTGCCACTTGTTTCTGTTTCTAGTAACTGGCACTTGAAATCACAGAAAATCATTCACCTTGTCTGCCTATGTAATGTAGTTATAAAGGTTGAAACCTTGGAGGACCGTGGATTATATCCTTTTGTTGCTGCTATGTAAAACAGCATTTCCCAGTGGGCAGCATATGACACAGTAAAGTTGCAGAGTCATCAATATATTCATGTCCCTGCCAGCCTGCAGAGACAGCCCTGTGCCTTTGGCATAGAGTGAAAGTGGTTTAGGGAGAGCAGTTATCACCATCTGTTGGGTGCTGTTTGCAGTGGAGCCAGATGTGGCCAAAGCACTAACAGTTGCAGTGTTGTATTTGGCATGTCTTGGCCCCATATAGATACGAGGGTAAGGTATTTAATATTCCAGTTATCACTGGACACCTTGTCCAGATATGCACTGCCAGTGCCCAGGATGACCCATTGTGGTGTTACCACTACAAGGATCAAAGGACACCGTACTTACTGGGGTATGAAGGAAAAGTATGATACTGCAGCAGACACTGAGCATTTGTGGCTTTCGCCATGGATGTCGACCCATACACTATCGGTGAGGAACCAAGTGTAATGTAATTGTGCCTGTTGGGATGAGTACACCAAGAATAGTGGGTCCCATGTTTCTTCAGTGGATACTTGAGACTTCTCCAAAGGAGCATGGATATCAAAGTTATGACTGTAAAGACTACAATTGTGAGTCTTGAATAGGGACGTGTGTAACTTTATATTGAATCCAAGTAAAGAAAGAGTTCATGCAGTTTCTTCGCTGACTTCGGATAGCAGGGAATGACAAAAACTTTCTGAAAAACTATATCCCCCTTGCTCTGTATTATGTAATAAAATGCGGTACTTGTGGGTTATCGGGACATCACTTTAAAAATAGGTTAGGTTAATGTGTGTGGATAAATGACATACTTGAAAGTTATTATATTTTATTTCAATAAATGACAACTAATCTAATCTATTTTTAAAGCGATGTACCTAAAATGCTATTCGTTTGTGTTCGCGATGTGCTGCTATCTGTCGGAAACATCAGTAAGGGTTAATTAATATAAATAAGTTTGGTATTCTCGTACCATATAACAGTCATCTGGGTTCATAACGATTCTGTTTGTACCATCTTTGGTATCAACCACGTTTGACAAGAACAGCTGATCAGATTAGTATAGTACGGCTCCAATACGTTTAAGGGTTGGTCGTTGTGTTGGAAAATGTCGGTCGGTACTTCGTTATATCTGTTTTCACACACCCAAAAGGTTTGCAGGCTTTACAAAAGAGCTCTAAGGAATTTGGAATCGTGGTATGATAGACGGTGAGTACTGAAACATTTGAAGATGATAGCCACTTATTAGTGTATATGTGTAATGAACAATTTCCAATCATTAATGCTTTCGACAGTATTCCGTATCAGTTGCTGAAAATACTTTATTTGATGGAAATAAATTAAACATTCCACTACTAAATAATATCGCAGTAAATGTATTGTCATAAACCAGTTTCCAACAACTGACAAAGAAATTAATGGCTTCACATTATTTTATTAGAAGTAAAAATAATTTGTAATAAGATGGAACGTCAACAAAAATAGTGCTCATCTCCCAAACCCATATTAATGAACCTGTAAGTTTCGTGTGTTCCATCATTTTCAACTGCTGGAACTTTCCCATTGAACCCAACAAGGGAAAAGATAAATGTGCCAACTTATAGTCTAGTTTCTTTTCTGACTTGGATTTTCTGAAGTATTTGCGAATGATATGTACGAAAGTAATGCAACATTTAAATTCCATAGTTTGATTTTATAAAAATGTACTAACAAAGGTACATTCAAATTTATGCATGAAATGCTAGTCACATAATGGCAGTAATCATGTGTCTGTTACTTTGTCATGTTGCTAAGGCTTGACTGTTAATCATAGCAAATAGATAAATAAACTGTAGTAGTTTGGTTTAGAGGCAAGTGGTTTATATGACATCCTACTTCCAGAAGAAGTTGGATTAAGAGCTCCAAATAGGCATAATGTACATTTTTATTGGGGAAAAGTACATTTAAAATTCCTCAGAACTCCATACTGTGGTTGTTTCTATTTCTCTTTTATGTTAGTGATCTTATGCCTGATATAAACACAGTTTTTACAGCTGTTCTATTTGCTGTTGGTACTATAATAAGTAATTGAACCTGAAGAAAGTCGTTAGAGAAGTGCTAAATATCTTTGCTGCTGTGAACAAGTGGTTTATAGGTGATTAATTTTTCCTTTAAATCTTGGCAAAACAAACTTAAAAAATTGAAACTGATTTTTTGAACTTATCCATTACATTAATGTTATTACAACCACAAAGTTTTGGAAGTTGGTTCTATTGCTTTTTTAATGTGTGATTAGCTCAACCAGGGGGCCCTTCTTTCACCTGAAGTTGGAAGTAGAACTGACTTCTGAAATTTTATGGTTTTAATAACACATAGATGATAGATAAATCCAAGAAAACAACTTAACACAACATAGCAAACCTTCAAACTTCATTAAACTTTATGAAGGTAGTAACCAATAAGAAGCCAACATTAATATGCATATAAACTGTTACAATCAGTATCCAGGAAAGGATAACAAACTTCTGTAATGTGAAACGTTAGATCCCTGATGGCATCAGCATTGCAGTGTGTTGTGGGATAATGCATGCCACCTAAGAGCACTACAAACTGCAAGTTATGGGAAAGACTCATAAAGCTTATTTTGCTGTTGCAGAGACTTCCAACTCTACAGATTTTGCTAATGTTGTATTTAGGTAATGCAGGTTTATGATCCTACAATACAGTTCAATTTAATTCACTTGTAAGCATATTGGACTCATGTGTAAATGCTCATAGGATGAAGCCCTACTTGAGTCGGGATGTTTTGTCTCACAGTTATAAGTCTATTACAGATTACTGTTGTGCTTGATGTTACTTTTTAACACATTAAATTTTTCAGATATAACCTCAAAGTTTTGTATCTTCACCATGTTTGTAATTGTTGACATAGTTGGTATTTTATACATATGTAGGAATGTTTTTTATTTGTCTTATACAAAAGCATAGTCTTCATCATTTGGCTGTGGAATCTATTCATGCAGCTCAGAAGTCTTAAACATTAGTAATTTTCTTCAAATTAGGCAGACATATTGGTGTCTTTGCATAATAGACATCTGGCATAAATAATTGTAATTAATGAAAGGCACAGAAAACCGCACATGAACAAATATAAGGTTGGTACAAATTATTGGAATTATGACACCAGCTGTACACTTACATCATTTCTGGTTTGTGACAAATAAAATATTAAGCACTATTCTTGTTGCACAGAGTATTCAAGGCAAAAATTGGAAAGCTGTACAAAAATGTTAAGTAGCAAATATCTCACTAAGTTCACCAGCATACTACTAGAACTAGACCATTGAGGTCATCTGAAACTGTTTCATGTTGGTAAATACCATTTTGCAAACAAGTGATTTGAATTGCTGTTACTAACTATCATGCACAAAAACTTAACTACATTACAACACAGTGTGAGAAAAAAAGAAATGAATTTAACTTTGTATGTGTGGTATCAGAGGATAAACTTGTAAGTCCTTTACTTTATTCTATATGGTGATTCTGCCATAAGTATTATTAATTATAAGATTACTGTGGGCTGGATTTGGCGTTCAGAAGGGAGAAATATGTCCAGAATTGTGGAAAACCCTTCTTGAGAAGCAAAGTCACTCGGCTATCATATTCCCCAATTCCCTCACTTTTATTGAATACAAAGGCTAATTACTATGTTCACAAGAACTTGAATTTGAGGATAACCTTTAAATGGACCATGGAGAGAGATAATTGGCTCCAATTCATTTCAATTAAGGATTGGTGTTAACCTTCAAGAGATTTTACTGCTTTACACTTATAGTACTGAGCAGTGTTATATTTGTATAATGATTTAGTTATCAGTACTCTGCATTAACACAAAATGGTATTCTCACAGTGAAGTTTTTCGATATGAAGCTGTACTGCTAAGACAGCGGTTTGAAGAAAATCGTGATGTAAAGGATATGCGGATAGCAAAACAGCTGCTGGAGAAGGGAGAGCAGGAACTGTTTGAGAAACAGCATTACCAACCAAAGAAATGTGAGTTTAATGGTACAGCCTATAAAGCTTTTCCCTTACACTAATTCAGAAATTATTCTTTGGCTTGATTTGAAGCTTACATTTCAGAGATTGCTTTCACATTGCATGCAAAGAATATTTCATGAATTAATCTCTGGCTTACTTCTGAGAGGTGGCAGGAACATTCAGCACACTCACCCTTAGTTTGTAAATTCGCACAAAAGTCCTAAAAGATATTCCAACAATGCCCACTCACATCAACACATTTTTAATACTTATGCACAATGCAAGTAGTGGATCTAAAACCCTCCAAAATATGTGAACTACAAGTGGATATTTCTACTTCCTCTCCTGCCTTTGGGAATAATTTATTCCCTGTCTGCTAAGCCACCCTCCTCTCTCTCTCTCTCTCTCTCTCTCTCTCTATCTTCAGTTGGCTGTCAGCTTCATTTTACTGTTGTTCAACTGAATGTAATAGTGTGACTGTTAGGGAATATAGTGTAAAATAGTCCATCAGAACAATCTTGCTGCTCAGGTTACCCTAGCAATACTGACACTATCTTACTGAAAAAGTGTTGGGCAGAAATTACTCAAGTTGCAAAAATGAAAGTAGTGCACTGACCTCTACTGCAAGTTTTAGCTTGACTTGTCTTATAGTAAATTAAATTTGGTACATATAAGATGTGATCCATTATATTGTGTCCTGAAGCTGTGTGATTTATTGTCAGTAAAATTATACATTTATGTATCTTGTGGAAAGGGGATTTCGTCATACATTAATGGGATAATGTTTATGACTGTATTGTGCATAAATTATAACTGTTGCCAGGGTAATGCTGTTATGGTATTTTTGCCTTATAGTTTGCATGACTGACCATAAAATCACTGCCTGGTGTACATATTGTGATGCGATTGGTGATTATACCATGAGTTTTTATTCAAGATGGGTTTATCTGGCACTACTACAATTGATTGTGCCTTGGATTAATATTTGTTGCTCCACTAGTTACCATCATGGTTTATTGGATTTAGTTGTTCTCTTCTGCTTCATAGTATGCCATTCCTCTTAGCTGTGATTCTACATTATGTTTCCGTTCGCTTTACCCCTTTTTAGTATTTTAACACTCACTTGTCACCTACTATTTTAACATGTGTGGCTGTCTGCCTGAGCCCATATTTTTAGCACTTGTAACTTCACCAGATGATGAGTACAGTTGTTTTCATTACTCTCTAGAATGTTCTATGATTTTCCAATAGTTTATAGTGAGGTCCTGAAAGAGAGCATTCTTTTTCACTCTGTTGAACTTTCCAGAATGTGGTGTATGTAGCATATTGGCACCACTGTAGGAGGTGGTTGGGTATGCCACCTCAGCCTTTAAGACCACTATGATATTTGAAATAAAAACTTTTCTGCATGTATGAATTTATGTATGGTTTATTTACCAGTGCTGTCGGCAGCTCAGATTATCTAACTGTCAAATGATAAATGAATGGTGAATAATGAATTGGATAGGATTTGGAGGGAAGTGGTCATGGCCTAATTTAAGGTACTAATGTTGTATTTGTGTGAAGTGATTGGGGTAAACTGTGCAAAACCTCAGTCAGGATATGCAGTATCTGTGCTGAGATTTGAACCCAGAATCTTTCAGATTTGAAGCAGGAGTGCAAACCACTCATGTGTGATATTCAGTCAGCTAATATGAAAGAACCCTGTTGTATCAGGAATGTTTCTTCACCAGACATTCCAGAATCCCATGTTTGAGATTTCCATCCACGTTATAGCATGGCATTTGTCACAACCACAAACCACTACCTAATGACCAAGTTCTGGATTGGGGTGCTGTGGACTTGGTAGAGCCAACATTTAGGAGAAACATACTGTCTCCATGTTCAGCCCAGAAGACAGCATATTTCTCCAAAATGTTGGTTTCTACATCATGTCACAACCCCCCCCCCCATTAATTTCACCACCACAAGAACCTCAAATCTCACACTGCCTATTAGATTTAAGGTAAATAAAGTTGTCCCTTGTGCTTATGCACCACAGATATTTGAAGTAAGCTCCACACATAAACTCTGGACTAATGGTTATAAAACATTTAATCTCTGTGACTGTGCTTTTGGAGAACTAGGCATGAATAATGGACAGTAGATACGAGTGTCTGTAAGTGATGGAATTCTGCAATTCTCTTGGCCAGATGCTATTCTAATGTTCTGTATTCAAATGTTCATTCTCACTTGGTGGTGTGTGATGTTAGAATTCTTAGTGACTATTTCAGTGATGGATAAAATTAAGACTTACACCATACTACTAATTTGCAACTGGGTCACACTGAAAAATATATATCCAGAGACTAAGTCAGAGGTTCTGCTATAGTTTAAACAGTGACCAGAATATTTTAAAGTTGTAAGTATTAAAAGAAACTGAAATTGAAGTGTTCCAGTTATTACATTTTTCATGTTTAGTTCCGAAGTCTCCAGGAGGAACTGCATATGAACGTGAAGTTTTACCACCAGACTGGGTATTGGACTACTGGCACCCTCTTGAAAAGGCACAGTATCCTGAATACTTTGCCCGCCGTGAACTCCGCAAGAAAGAGTTCATCGAAATGTGGGAGAAAAAGTACGGCAAACCACCAAAGGAAGAAGCACATCACTGAATGTGTGTTACTGAACAGATAGTATGATGAACACAGAAATGTGATTTAAAGACAGTTTGTATTTAGATTTGACGTGGTAGCTTCAAACAAGTGTAAGAATTTTCAATAGTAAAAGTTGGCACTTGGCTGTGGAATTATCTGGAGCACTAAATTTCATACATAGTTAACAATTGTATAACCATTATGAAATTAATAGGTTTTGTACATTAAGATAAAAGACGGAACTGTAAATATAATAATGCTAATAAAGATGTTTCTTCACTTATATTCAGTGTAAGTTGATTCCTATATGAATTTATAGCTGCTGAAGAAATTTATGCAGAAGTGAAGACATATTTTTTGTGACAGTAAGTCATAATAATAAGCTGGATACTTTGAAATATTCAACCATACCATCAGTAGATAGTAGGTGGGTATAATGGGTGGGATATGTCTCTTTTAAAAAACTTATCTACCTTAGAGTCACCTTAATCTGAACCCTGTTTTTAGAAGTGAGATGTATTACATGTGCTGTGGAGCACATGCCAAACTGCTAATTTAGTTGTTTGTTTTTTAAGTTCAGTTTGTTAAGAATTGAGTTTATTTTATTTTATGTTGCCATTCACGAATAAAGAATGAAACTGGGTTAAATTAAAATCCATTACTAATAGATAAGAGGAAAGTGTGCATGTAAAATGTATTATTTTTTAAATACATACTTTTTATTTAGTCTGTGCTAATCTTATGTACCAATATGATAATGGAAAACAAAAAAGTACTTATGCATAACAAATTATTTTGAATACATTTGTTATGGACTTAATTTTCTGTATCAAATGCTTTAATGTGTCTTTTCTTCTTAATTTTAATACCATGGGAAGGAAATTAAAATCAGCCTCTGATCATAGAAGTTACAAATTTAGGCAGCTTCTTTCTCAGTAAATGTAATTTAAAATATCCAACCAATAAGTATCAGTTGTTGTACCTTCTAAAGTCTACTGTCAGAAACTGTGAGCTACCACTTCCAGGGTTAAAAACATGATATATGAAGAGGAGAAGCATGCAACTTACACAAAACATTAACACCTGAAGAATACATTAAAAACATTCAATTCTCTTCTTAGACATGTATTTTATTATATTATTAATTATATTTGCAACTACAAGTTTACAGAGAGAAAGTTTGACTCACATCTTACATCTGCAGTTTAAGACATGCCACACATGCTCCGTCACCTTTATACCTACTCAGTAAGCGTAGCATACCAAGTTTCTTCTGGTTGCTGTAAGAACTCTCTAACTCATAAAGAGTGCAAACATTGAGCAGAAGGTTTTCATGTAGACCTTGTGTTGGATTTTTATTCACAGCACCTTCAAGTAACGACAGTGCTTCCTTCAGCCGACCCAAGTAAAGCAGGCATACTCCCATGTTATTCAACAACTGATAACAAACACAAATTTTCAGTTTGGAGAAAAATTATTGCATACAAAATTCTGGAAGGAAAACTTCAAGGAAGTGATTCTAAAAATCTGATAAAGCCTACATAATTCTGCAGTTGCCAGAAAAGCTGAAGGTTTCATAAGATATCACAAACACTTGAATCCAAGATTTAAAAAATAATGCTCATTTTAGTTTCTTGTCTAAACTGTCTCAGAAGTCTAGAAATGTTTACTGAAATAAATATGTAGATCTTTCAAAGATCAAACTTTGCGTATTTGTCAGCACTCAACTCCTAGTCATTGAAAGGGACTGAAAAGCAAATGAAATGTAAATAATTTGGAAAATGTATTGAGATATTAGAAGTGAGGAAACTGTAAAATGGAGGAAATTAACAATGACATATCTGGGTTGGGGCCACGGAAGTTTAACATTATACGAGGAAAACCCTATAATCAAGGAGCATTATATGACTACACTGCAAAGCACCATCACAATATAGCAACATTATTAAGATACACTTACCATCATGTTGGATGGATCTAATGTACTTGCTTTGTTGAAGCAGTCATAAGCCTCTTGGAAAGCATTTTGTGCCACAGCCATCAATCCTCGGTCTATCAAATCACGCAGATCAGAGGCAACTGAGCCTTCTGATAGCAAACCCCCAGTGCCACTGCAGCAAAGACATGCATAGCTGACAGGAAGAAATATCTGAACATGACAGTAGCAGTAGAAAGCTTTATGTATTATACGCTGTGTTAGACATTGTGTTTCATCTATCCTTATTAATGCTGGTCACAGTGGTCATGTGGTCTGAGGCATGGGCCTTGTGCCACTTGGACACTGGGACCGCGGGTTTGAATCCCACTTAAGTCATCGATGTTTGTCCGTGTCTTTGTGTGTTGTGCTGTCCTGTGTGCAGGTAGATGCCTTGTGATGGGATAATCACTCTTCCAAGTAGTTCTACCAAATGTCTAAATAGATCAAGAAACCTCCAAAAGGAGATCCCTATGCTCCACATATAGTGAATGAGTATAAAGAGGGAAGAAGAAAAGATACTTATTAATAATCCGCAGTAAATACCATTCAAGTCAGTTTTGCTTCTTTAATAGTGACATCAGGAAACATTTCTACCAGGTCAATTTGTCTGTAGTTGAAATATTATTTCTGCATTTTAGAGAGTGTAACAGTCAGTGCCAGAAGTTCCACAGTGTTAAAACCATCTGTATGGAAGGCCTTGTCCCTACACCATAAGCTCTCCAAAATTTACATGATTCATTGTGATTTATAAATAATGTTTTATTCTAGTTCTTATGTTTAATGTTACACATGTCTCACCATTATTCTTACCTTTGCTGCTGCTTCAGTTCCCGAGCCAAAGCAAAGTTCTTTTCAGCACCAGCAACATCTCCAAGCTGCAGATACACACGTCCAAGTGCTGACTGGAGAGCACGTTTGTGATGATTACCCCATTCTCGACCGTTCAGTAACAATTCCAGCACTCTGACAGCCAAACTGTAATCCTGTATGCACACAGTAGTACACTTGTATCATGTCGATAACCGAAAAAAATATCTTTATGGTGTGCATATAAGTGAAAATGAGACATTACTCCATTGAAGAAATACAAAATGTACTACTTCTCACTTTTGGGCCATCCTAAACTCCAGCACACAAAGACGTGTACTTCTTAACACTAGTCCCAACATGATATTAACAGCAGAGAATATACTGATCAGCTAAGCAACTGCAGTTAATTTGATATAAGCAACTTAATAAATTGTGAATAAGATTTATGTAAATCATTCCTTCCTTTGAATACATACCGATTGAACAGTAATTTCCACATACCTTCTGACAAAGTGCACTGTTAACAATGGAATGAAGAACACGGGCCTCTCGGCTGCCCCACAGTTTCCTTGATTCCCTGCGGTCTGATGGACTTAGTTCTGCCAGACTACCATCTTCACAAAGACCAGCATCAAGATTACGAAGGATCTAGTATTTAAAGAAAATGGTTACATTGTCGTGGACACAAATTTTGACATTTCCAAATGCCAAAGCAGCATGTCTCAGGAGAAGACTTGCATTCAGCAATAAAGCTAATTGTGCTTTGACTTAATATATACTGTTTTGTCTCTAGAGTACAGCACCTTCCAAAGATGGAGTATGACCTCTGAAACGTTGGTAAACATCTACCAGACTACACAGCGCAACAACCCAGAAGACAGAAATCTTCATATTCACCACTGTGAAAAAATCAAATCTTACATGGATAGATATGTTCCTCCAAAACATTGATAACTACCTACAAGTCCACACAGCATCACAGTCCAGAAGACCAACATCAAAATGCCTAAATTAGTTACTGATCTAGAAATACTTGCTCTATGCTTTCAATGCAGATCAGTGATTAAATATTTGGTAATCACTGGTCTAAAGTACTGATGATGGTGTATATAAAATCTATTTCTACCAAGATGTGATTGTGCATTTGTCAGGAACAAGCATAAAAGAGTGTGAGCATGTGATACCTTTCTAACAGTAGCCAGAAGCAC